CCCCGGCCAGGAGATCGCCCTGGACTCACCTATGCTTCTAACTCACTACCAAAGGATTCAACATTGGTCAAGTTACTGCCAATTACATAGTTGAAGAACCACACTACAAATTATCGCTGATCAAAGCCGAGATATTTGGAGCTGTAGTAATTTAGGATAAAACAAAAATTCGACAAAAATTTAAAAGTTAAAAATTAAAAACAAACACGAAATTTACGTTAAAAAGTGTGAAAAAAGAACAAAAATTTATAAATTGGAGCTGCAGTAATTTGGGATAAAACAAAAATTCGACAAAAATTGAAAAAACACAAGGAATTTACGTCAAAAAGCATGAAAACAGAACAAAAAATCCATAATTTCAAGCTGACCTTTAACATTTTTTTCTTCCGGTTGTTTGATGCTCATTTGATATTCCCGATCAAATTCATCCTGTAATTTCTGGGCCAATTCTAAGTCATCCTTGCACTGCGCCAGATCACTGGGACTTATGCCATACTGGGCAATTGATGGATCGATACCATTCGCAACTGCATCCTCTTCCTGAAGAATTCCCGAGATTTCTGGGACAGCTGGAGAATCCGTGTCAAACTTTGCATAATCGCTTTGCTATTTCGGTTACCCCTTGTCCATTGTAGCACATCAACGCGAACAGGCAAACTCTTTAAGGTGGCTATGGTACTATGTAATAACAAATGACAAAGAAATTTAACATGAAAAAGACGAAAATTCAACAGAAATTTTAAAAATTTAACATGAAGAAGATGAAAATTTATCAGAAATTTCAAAAATTTAGTACCAAAAAATGAAAATTTAACAGAAATTTTAAAAATTTAACATGAAAAAGATGAAAATTTAACGCAAATTTCAAAAAACTTAGCACGGGAAAGATGAAAATTTAACAGAAATTTTAAAGATTTGACACGAAAAAGATGAAAACTTGGCGGAAATTTTGAAAATTTAGTACGAAAAAGATGAAAATTTAACGGAAATTTCAAAAATTTAGTACGAAATTGATGAAAATTTAGCAGAAATTTTAAAAATTTAACATGAAAAAGATGAAAATTAAACAGAAATTTTAGCAGCTTAACATGGAAATGACGAAAAATTTAACAGAAATTTTAAAAATCCGCTACGAAAAAAATGGAAATTTAACATGAAAGAGACGGGAACCTCAAGCTGTTCAGCTAGCTCCAAACTCATTATTTCTTCAAACGATACCACTGGTT